CGTCTCAGGGCCGCGCTCGCCTACGGGTCATGGCCACGGCCGCCGCCCGAGCACGAGCTCCAGCCGACGGCCGCGCCTCGCTGTGACATCCGCCGTCCCGGCGATGAGTGGCGGCGGCCTCGTCCAGCAAGCTCATTTATACCTCCAAAATTTTGAGTCGCTCGACTCGATTTGGTCGACTAGCCCAAACTAGTCGTCGACTAGTCCATCCACGGCTCGACTCGGTCTGCTAGTCTACACGAGAAATGCAGTCGACACTCACTTTGCGACTCGTCGACTAGTCGAGCGACTAGTCTAGACTAGTCGTTCGACTCGTAATCGTTGGGTGATGGCCTTTGATTTGACAAATGCCCCAGCGACGTTCCAAGCACTCATGAACGACGTCCTCCGTCCCTACCTTCGTCGGTTTGTGCTTGTGTTCTTCGATGATATCTTGATCTACAGCTCGTCCTGGTCGGGTCACCTACGTCATGTCAAGCTCGTTTTGGAGGTTGTGCGCACACATCAACTGTTTCTCAAGCGCTCCAAGTGTTCCTTTGGGGAGGAAACCATGGGTTATCTGGGACACGTCATTTTCGTTGCAGGAGTTGCCATGGACAGCGACAAGGTTCTAGCCGTGGTAGACTGGCCGGTTCCGCGCACCGTCCGCGCTGTGCGTGGTTTCTTAGGACTGGCAGGATACTACCGCAAGTTCATCCGGGATTTTGGCACCATTGCAGTTCCCCTCACAGTGCTCCTCAAGGAAGATGGATTTCTTTGGACGCCTGCAGCGACTATCGCCTTGAAGCCCTTGATAGCAGTATATTCGTGCTTGTCAGGTTTGTCAACGCAACAAGACGGAGCAGCTTCATCCAGCCGGCTTATTGCAGCCCTTGACAGTGCCATCTCGTGTCTGGGAAGACATCTCCATGGATTTCATTGAGGCACTTCCGAAGGTGGGCGGCAAAAGTGTGATACTGACCGTCGTGGACCGTTTCTCCAAGTATGCGCATTTCATCCCATTGGCGCATCCGTACACTGCGGAGTCCGTTGCTAAGGCCTTCTTCTCCAACATTGTCCGACTTCATGGGTTTCCCACATCCATCGTTTCGGACAGGGATGTGGTTTTCACTTCGGGCTTTTGGAAGGCTCTGTTTGCCGCCGCGAGGACGCGCTTGCACATGAGTTTGGCCTTCCATCCGCAGTCTGATGGACAATCTGAGGCCATCAATCGCGTCATCACCATGTACCTTCGTTGCATAACTGGGGATCGCCCCCGGCAGTGGCTCTAATGGTTGCCTTGGGCGGAGTACTGCTACAACACTTCGTACCACTCAGCGTTGAAGGACACTCCTTTCCGGGTGGTTTATGGACGGGATCCCCCCTCATTGCGGGACTACACGCTGGGCGAGATTCGCCATCAGGCGGTGGAACGGCAGATCCTCGACCGCGATCAGTTCTTACTTGACATCCGTGAGCGTCTCCTTCAGGCAGCACAACAATACAAGCATTACTATGATGATAAGCATCGGGCCCTTTCTTTTGATGTTGGAGAGTGGGTTTGGCTCCGTCTTCAGCACCAGCTGGCAGCATTCCTTGGAGTAGGCGCCAAAGGGAAATTGGCTCCCAAATATTATGGGCCTTTCAAAGTCCTCGCTAAAATCGATACGGTTGCTTACCGTTTGGAGCTGCCCCCACGCGCCCGCATTCACAATGTCTTCCATGTCGGGGTCCTGAAGAAGTACCATGGTCCACCGCTGGAAGTTCCGCCGATGCTTCCACCTCTGTTTCAGGGTCGAGTACATCCAACCCCTGTCCAAGCATTGCGTGCTCGTATTGCTCGCGGTGTCCAGCAGGTGCTCATTCACTGGGAGGGCCAGCCGGCGTCTGCTGCTTCATGGGAGGATGTTACAACCTTCCGCGAACGTTATCCAAGCTTCCAGCTCGAGGACGAGCTGTTTCAGAATGGAGGGGGAGATGTCATGTGGGGCCAGCCCTATAGGCGCAAGAGACCTGCACGGGCCGGCCCTGCACCTGCCTAAAAATATGTCCTAGTTTAATTATAGTTTTTTTTAGATTAGGAGTCTGGGTATTAGTTGGAAAGGTTTAGTCCCGTAGAAGGTTACCCTGCCAACAACCAATTGTAATAGGAGTCTGTAATCTGGTCTTGTAATATTTTCTTACCTGGGCAAACATAAGTAACAGAAGATCAAGAAGCCTAGATACTTACCTCATAGACAGCTTGGTACCCCTTGAAGTCAAGCCTTGACGCAGATGAATGAAAAATCATGTCTCCTTCAGGATTAGCAATACCAACTTGTATCTACAATGCAATTATTAAAGTGCACACAGAGTAAGAAAATAAGCATTGGATTTTACAGGATATATAAAATAATGAAAATCCAAAACAAAAAGGTAGAATTTAGCATGTCTTGAAGTTGCGTAGCAAAGAAAATGGAAGTCATTTTCATTAACTACCAAGGCATCAAATATATATATTTAGCACACAACCAGAATTCTGTTTGAAGAGCCACAACAAATGGGATGAAATCTCTCACGCCTAAGTTATAACAAATTCTAATAGGTAGATGCCTCATCATCATGTTCTCGTACTCAACCATATCATATACAACTAATCTCAAAAGATGACCACCACATTTATTCTTACACTTCGCATACATGCCGGTAGATTGTAATTCCTCTGTTTCACCACACTTATCCATTTTATTGAGAAATGCCAATTCAGAATGTTAAAATAGCCGGATTCTCTCCTGTTTTACCATTATTTAAAAAATAAGAAAGGTTCACGGGTAAAGTATTTCGCTTAATATGGCCATCGGCCAGCTTTCCATGCTTACTTGGTTTTGTTCACAAGATTGCTAGGCGACAGTTGTGGAACAGATGGCTTAGCTGGTAACGAAAAAACAGACCGATAGACAAAGAAATATCAGTACATTTAGGCAAAATGTTCTGTCATAAACACAGGGCTGCCTCATTCATCTACAGAAAAGAGTTGAACATAGGTTTGCTAGATTAGATGTCAACTTACAAATCCCTCTTAATTCTATACCTGTCATAATTTCTATAGACAGATGAGGAGTTTTCTAAACCAACAGTGCTGCACCAACGAATATAACATACAAATATGAGCAGCAAGCTACCTATACACTGCAAACTTGTTGAATTCATATTTCCTTTAAACTGGAAACATGTGTTATTCATGGTTTTTAATGAGGAAAGAGAAGGAGGGTGATTGGCATATTTTTTGCAGTCTCGAATCTCAAAACATGTGCACAGTTAGATTCTTTGGTCTAGCTGAGCCAAGGTTCAGTAAATTATTACTGTCGACAATATAGCTTTGTAAAAATACACATAGTAGCCAGCCAGCCCAAAGATTGGAGTAATAAACAACAGATAAACATGAAGTAAAACAGTAACCCACCAGCTCAGTCCTTGAAGCTTCCATTTGGCAAGCCATTGTTCTTCTCCATATTAGAGTGTACAGTTTCAAAGAACCCTCATCAAGTATTCCAATCAAAGATGCTGAAAGAGATACCATGATAGTCATAGAACTATAAATGGAAAACAAGAAACCAAAACTATAATGCTTAAATATAAATATGCAAGTAAGAAAAAGAGATGCTACAGAAGATTTGGCAAAACGAAAGAAACATTAGCAACTCCTAATTCTGAAAATGAAAAACACATTCAGGTACTCTTTCAGCCCTAGAGCGCATGACTTCATGTATAACCATCGTTCATCATGAATGTGTCAATTCTAAAGCATGTTCACAACAGATGGCAAAACCCTGCTAATTACAAATCAAGAGGCGACATAAAGAAGGTTATGGTAGATGTGGAACAGCGAGTACATGAGAACTTACAATTAGCTAGTAAACAACACCCAACATGCCATTCAAATACATAATATATATATCACCTCTGGATTCGTAATGAACTAGTAAACAACACTCAGCCCAGCACCAAATCCTGCAGAAGAAAGCCATAGGGAAGAGAGAAGGGTGGGTAGAAGGAGCTAGGGTTTAGGCTGTCAGTGTCGTAATGGAGGGAGGGTGCAGGTGTCTAGCTCAATGGTCCCTAGAATCCTACGACTCTCTCACCCTTGGTTATCTATTTTTGATAGTCTCTTTTGGATGTATTCCTCACCCAACAGCGGCCCTCCATCACCCAGTGCCATTGTACTTCCAAATCTCCTTGTCCCAATTCTCTCCATGGGAACAAATGAGAAATGTTTAAAAGGATTAAACAGCCAGAGAAAGGACAATAAGTAAAGGAAACACCTTTAGTTAATACATAATACAACCTCCGTTAGGAAATAACTGACATGGTTTTAGTTCAAATTTGAACTTTGAACTAAAACCACGTCAGTTATTTCCGAACGGAGGGAGTAATAAGAACTTTCGCAACCAAAGCTTGCAATGGCCATGAACTGCCAAATAGTCTATACATGAAATCTGCAACTCACAAGCCACTAGCACATACCCAGTATGTTTCTCAAAACCATCAATGGTAAATAGAAACTTGGGAAATGAGTATGTGATAATAACAACCCCCACCCCCACCCCCCCCCCACACACACACACAGAAAAAACACATACCCAAAAATGATTTACGGTAGTGCAACGTCGTTAATAAACACAGAACTACAGGTGGGTTTATTACATGGCAACCTCCTTATGCTGGTGGGCCTTATGGCTTCATGGGCCTCTTGAGCATTTTTCACCTTCTTCAAGTACTTCCTAATATCCTCTGATGCATATTGCTCACCATACCTAGAACAAATACTTGTTAGCAAGAATGGAAGCCCCAGGTGACATACTCATAAACAGGAAGGTAACATGTTGAACTCCCAAGATACTGATTCTCTCAAACTAGCTTCCAAAGAATAAGATTAGACAGGAAAAGAAACAAACTCATAAAAATGATACCAGAAAGCTCTCCAGCCATTCCATCAAACATAGTAGATACAAAACAATTGAAGGGTTGTAAATATTTAGTGATATCAAATATTGTGTCTCACAATATCCAATCCCATAAATCCTGACAATGAGAAAGAAATAAGCAGAACTGCAAACTGCCATTTTGCTGAAATTAATCACTGGAGCACTAATCAGATTATTTGGCACAATGTAACTGATCAATTAAACATGAAACAAGATAGATTAGCAGTCCAGAACAAACTTAGTAACACAAACTTGACAAAATATTCCAGTAGAGTATACCTTTGTTTCACTAACGAACGAATATCTTCTGCAGCTCCATGAGAAATCTTCAATGGAAAGGACAGCATAAACAAATAAGGCAACAGTTTCAGGCTATTAAAATGAGTACCGCATAACAATCAACTATCACTGATAACTGACAAGAAATTCTCAAATCAAGGAATAGAAAGTAATATCTTTCATGCACGCAACACAATTAAGATTTTGTAGCCAAATCTAGTATTTGAGTTAATGCTCATATATACACATGATGTGTTTCATGTAACTGAAGTTGCCTTAAATTTAAAATTACACCGAGATCACTTGGGCGGGAATGGATGCACAATCTCACCGCTGAAGTTCAAGTCATCACCACTTGAAAAATTCATGCATATATTTCTGTATTAAAATGCACATGAGTTCCTTCTACATGTTCGTTTGTAGAAATATACATGAATGGAACTAAATAATGAGAACAGAAAGTCAAAATATAATAGAGCAGACAGTTTATTTGGAATAGCAATAAGGACTTATAGAACTCCATTTTCTTGATCAGATGTTTGAGCTGATATACTAAGTTTTTTCTTCTACTAAGCAAAAGTATCCAGATTTTGGCCATAGCATCAAGCTGGCCTCTCTACTCGAAAAACTTTTCAGCTTCCGCCTTCCTATCCAAGGATGAGTATTGTCACTGTGTCAGCATGAGCCTTCCTATCCAAGGATGAGTATTGTCACTGTGTCAGCATCAGATTCAAGCAAGAACCTAGATCATCCCACTCTATAATCTCTCTCCTTTATCTGAGTGTCAAACCCCTCAAAGTCAGCGCCATGTGGAATCTTTCTCTACAGTTCACTTGTATATAGAGTGACCAATTTGATGGGTTTTTTTGTGAATGCACCAACTTTAACCAACAACCACAGATCACAGATAAGAGACCAAGAGTATGTTTTACCTGACCTACAGATACATTTATAAACAGAAAGACTACTTTGGCAATCAACTAAAAGTAGAATGAACGTACATGAAACCCATCTGTTCTGAGGTAAGTTATTAATCCTGTTGCTTGTTCTGACGAAAGATTGATCCCTTCATAAAGCTTCTGGGCTACCTGCAGTCACATAGTGAACCATATGAGTCAAAAGGTCACTACATGTAAATGACAGTATTATAATAGTAAAGCTATGCATCTAAGTTCTTATTAAGTAGAAACAACCTTCATGGTGTGCCCTGCACCAAAATGTAGTTTGTTTGCTGCATCTTGCTGAAGGCTGGATGTTATATATGGCATTGGAGGATTCTTGTGAATTTTGGTTCTCTGAACACCTCTTACTTCAAATTGGCAAGAATAAATCCTCTTTTCTAGAGCTCGTGCTTCTTCTTGAGAGCTTATAGAAAGCTGATCCAACTTTTTTGAATTGAGATGCTTTATCCAGGATGTAAGACATATGCCTTTTGAAGAATCTGAACACTGGGTTTCAAATTCAGTATCAACAGTCCAATATTCCTGTGGGCTAAACTTTTCTATTTCAGTCTCCCGATCACAAACAAGCGCCAAAGCTGCAGACTGGACTCGTCCAGCGGACTGACAACCAGGCAACTTCCTCCATAAAAGTGGTGATATGGCGAACCCAATCAAATAATCAAGGGAACGGCGTGCAAGATAAGCATTAACTAAGTCCATATCAATATATCTTTTATGTGCCAAGCAATTGCTTCACCTTCACGGTCAGGGTCAGAAGCGAGAATCAAATTTTCTGCTCTGGAGATAAGAAATAAGCAACAATAACAGAAGACAATCAGCAACAACTTCATAAAGCAGGGGAACTCAACATGGAAACTTGCACCAGCACAAGACATATACAAGAAAGAATTAACTCGAACACATGTATGACACTTGCTATAAGCGGAAGGCAGATCTAGAGAAAAAAGGTTCAACTAATTAACGGATACTCAGATGTAGCAATGAAGAAAATACTCACAGAATTCAGAATTTAATTGAAGCTCCGGTTGAAACCAATTTAATCAGCTATGTGAAATATGCAAAAGATTAAAATAAATAGAAGTAAATGAACAACCAAGACCGTAACTTGGTAATGGAGCGTCTATTACGTAAGTATACAGTTAAATAGTTCAGTTGATACATTTTCACAGAACATGTATGGGTCTAATAGAGATGTCTTCATCCGCTAGTGATGTGCAGGTATAGTATGCCAACATACACCTGGTGATAGTGACATTCGCATACGAGAATATAGGCATAGGATACTTGACACAAAATTATCTACAGGGACAGCTTAACAAAAATCTGCATATGAGATGAATCAACCATCACCAACACCATACTGTTGTTATAGTTTCTGTCTATGTGTCCTTGAAAAGCCATCAAGTTTAGATAGAACATAATAAATCTAGGAGACATGGTACTGTTTATCACTCTGTGCACACTTCACGGACAATCTAACTTATACTCAAAGGTGAGTGGCGCATGGATCCAAAAGGTATTAGTACTCACAACATTGCATTACTTACGTCCAATAAAGATTACAAACTACAAGTTGTAAAACAGAAACCAAGACGACTATCATGTGTTCACCCAATTAAGCCTTGCAGAAAGTGACAAGGATATGGACAAATGGTATTGCATGGAATACAAGTTTTTAGAGACAAAGATATGACTCATACCGTAAAAGTAACAAAGTATGTGAATTTGTCTTACCTTCCCAGCAACTAATGCATAGCAAACCTATATGCCAAGAACGAAATTTGAACAACGTTACTGATAACCAGCCTATAAAACATACCCTTTCAATGCAACTCCAATGCTTTTAAGGCATGTCCAGGCACCATTAGGCACCTCCCATACCATGCTGAAGTCATCCTCAGGGCGGACAGATCTTGACCTTCGAGCTAGATCTCTCACATGACCATAGCTGGGTAATACTTCGTACATGTCCCCAAGGTATTGTTGAATAACTTTTGCTTTTGTAACTGATTCAACAACAATAACTGATTTAGCTACGGGGGGGTACAGAGGTACAAGTGGCCTCCTCTCACTACCAGAAGCATCAACAGTGGTCTTCATGTAATTATTGGCTTCGGCAGCTGCAATAGCAGCAGATTCCTTTGCTTCCAAAGATTTCTTCGAACTGGTTACTGTTTTTCTCTCTTTGGAACTACCAACCCCTTTCTTTGATTTAGATGTGTCGGCCTTCTTTTCTTCTTGCTTCACACTTGCTTTCTCAGTTGTATTTGCTGCTGTTTTACTAGTTTTAGTAGAACTGCTCTTTTTCTTGGTAAATACTTTCTTTTCTTTCACATCTATGCTAACTTCTTTTTTGCTGCCTC